GTATTGACTCAAGATTAGGTGCGAATCTGGTAGACGTTGGTTGAACCTGATTTACCAGTATATTAAGAGTTGTACTAAGAACCTTTGAATTATTCATAAGTTCTAACGTCAAAATTATTAAGTTAAAATCTAAATTAGATCGACATAGGTCATTCCCGTGATGGCTCAGTTAAGAAATTTTTTTTTTAAAAAAAAAATTTTAAGCTCAATTTTCTATGCTTACCTGTTGCTAAAATTGAAGGTATTACATTTGCAACTCTGTTTGTAATTGTTTTTCTTATTAAATTTAATATTCGAAGTGGTTTATTTCGAACATTATCAGAATCATAATTGCTATAACATTCAATATTGCACAGGTTAAGTGGCTTGTCTTGGAAAACAGAGATACGGCCTTTCCAATTACATTCACCCTTTTTGCAACTATTCTTTAAGAAGTATTATTAGTATTTTATAAATTCATTAAAGAAGTACAATGTATTCCTTATCATATATACCCGAGTAGAACATCCCAGATATTCTATATATGCAAATGTTGTATCGTATAATTGCTTTACGTGTTCATCTACAAGTGTAATTGTTTTCATATCTCCGTCACGCACCTTTATTGAGAATAATAAGAATCTGCTTTGTGTATAACTTATGTTACTCAAATATCTTACCCAACTTCTATTTGTACAGTCTTCTGGTAAAATTTTATAACCTTTACTAAGCTTACCACCTCTAGATAATACTACGTCAAACGTGTACAAATCTAGTACTGAAGGTATTTCGATAAGTGGCACTTGCATGCATTGTAGATTTGGCAATAGTGGACGCCAAACTGTACTTGATTTACTTGATTTTATGTTCCAACTAATAGGTAAAGAAAACAAGTTATCCATTCGACTATTAATATGTAGTTCGACAATATAACTTTAATCAATTTAGATGACGGTTCTCACTTTTACTTTGGCTTGGTTATATATAGATGAGAAAAAGGAATTATCCTTTTTTAAAATTTTCTAAAAAAGATGTGGTGTCATCTTTTCGACTATCATGTTAATAATATTAAACTTAAATAATTTATATAATAATGTTACTATTGTTACTATATGCCTCATTATCTTTTTACTTGGTAAGAAAAACCTTAAAACAAAAACCTCTTCCAAAGTACTCTAAAAAAGACATAGTAGCATACCTTATTGTAATATAGTAATACGATAACTAATTTTAAAATAATTTATTACATGTCTGGTAAAAATGAATTTATGTTACAAAAATTGTGACTCGTGACTATAAACCCAGAAAAATTTGGAATTGGATATTGACTAATTTTTTTTTATTAGAAAAAAGTTCTATGAATTAAAGAAGACTGATTTTACTATTTATATATAATAATGAAGTATTTCCAAAAATAGCACGTAAGCTTTTATTCTTCTTGCACATGACTATAAGCAGTGATTTTTAGGGACGAAAAAAAACAAATTACTCATTGTTGAAAAGTTTAACATGAGTTAGTAAGCATATTTTTAAAAATCTTGAAAATTTTTTCGTACCCAATAAAATTTTGATTCGACAGTAATCAAACTTTTGATTTTGATGTTATTAGTATATATATTTTAATGTAGCGATAGTGCTCTGAACTACAATGTCAATCCATTTAAAATTGAAAGTTTTCGTTTAAATGCATATCGAGTATATATATTTGATGTGTTTTGCCTATTATTTTATTAAGAGATTTAATTTAAAAATACTGCAGAACTAATCAAATGAAACAGTTAACCTAATAATTAAGGAAATTTTAGCTTGTTGTCTATAGTAAATATTTTAAAAATGACAACCACTGTTTAATCTGAAATATCCAATTATCTGAAGTAATAGCAACTAAATCTACATAGCTTCCAATTTATCTGAAGCAATAACGGATATGCTTTGAAAATGTCATTTAGCAAAATATATACAAATTATACGTAATCAAAAATTATCAAAATCACAAACTTATTGAAGCAGCCAAATAATCATTCGGCCAATTTTTAACCAGATGTCCCAAATTTATGAAACAACCGTAATAAGTAATATAATGATAAATTATTAAAGGTAATTCGACTAATAATTTCATATAAAACAAATTAAAAAGTTTCATAGCAAAAACTATACATGATAATTTATTTATATATATTTGTAAATTGAATGGCAGTTTGAGTGATATTCGAATTATGCTATTTAAACATGTCAAAATTTTAAATTTTTACCAGTAAAAATTAGCCCCACAGGCAGAAAGAGAACAAATTTGCATTTATAATAAGAAGGATTTCAGATTAAAGAACTTTCTTGACCAACCAGCTGTTCTTGAAAATTTTTTCATACAGTCTTAATGTTTTAAGAAATTTGCTTTTTTCAAAACATTCAAGTGCTAATTTTTTCATATATTCACGAATATTATCATGTTGTAGAATCACTAGTTCTGAAACACTTTAATCATTGTCT